TTAACCCCTTGACATACCAATTTCTTCGCAGTTACTGCGATTAGAAATTTTTCGATTACCATAATTTCATAGAAGGGAAAGAAAATTGATGCTTATCGTGTGCCTAAATTTACTTGAATGCTTAAATATTGATGATAAGAGATTAGAATTTTATTCAAATTTTAATGGACAGAATAACATATATATTCAATAAGTTATTATTAGACATTTTCATGACGAGTCGGACTCGTCAAAGTACGTCAAGGGGTTAATTCGACGTTTCCAACGTTTCCAGCCGCGATTACGACAACTGGGCAGCGCTAGGCAACGTGGGCTGGAGCTACGCGGACGTGCTGCCCTATTTCCTGAAGTCGGAGGACAACCGCAACCCGTACTTAGCAAGAACCCCGTACCACACGACCGGCGGCTATCTAACCGTCCAAGAGTCCCCGTGGCGATCCCCCCTGTCGGTCGCCTTTCTCCAAGCCGGCCAGGAACTCGGCTACGAGATCCGAGACATAAACGGCGCTAATCAAACCGGCTTCATGCTGACGCAGGCGACGATCCGCCGCGGCAGCCGCTGCTCGACAGCGAAGGCTTTTCTGAGGCCGGTGAAGAACAGGCAGAACCTGCACATAGCGATGAACTCGCAGGCGCTGAGGGTGCTGTTCAACGGCGACAAGAGGGCCACGGGAGTGGAGATTCTCCGGGACGGCCGCCGGGAGACCATAAGGGTGCGACGAGAGGTGGTGCTGTCAGCCGGAGCAATTAACTCGCCCCAGCTGCTGATGGTATCGGGCATCGGGCCAAGGGACCACCTGGAGGAGCTCGGCATCCCGGTGATATCCGATCTGAGGGTCGGGGACAACCTCCAGGACCACGTCGGCCTCGGCGGGCTGACGTTCATCGTCAACGAGCCGATCAGCCTGAAGAGAGAACGCTTCCAGACGTTCCCGGTGATGATGGACTACATCCTGAACGAACGGGGACCGATGACCAGCCCCGGCATAGAGGGCTTAGCCTTCGTCAACTCGAAGTACGCCGATCCTTCGGCGGACCATCCGGACATCCAGTTTCACTTCGCCGCCAGCTCGGTGAACTCCGACGGCGGTGACCAGATCAAGAAGATCTTGGGGCTCAGGGACAGAGTGTACAACACCATGTACAAACCTCTGCACAACTCCGAGACCTGGTCCATCCTGCCGCTGCTCCTCAGGCCCAGGAGCTCGGGCTGGGTCAGATTGAAGAGCAAGAATCCGCTCGTCTATCCGGACATCAATCCTAACTACTTCACGCACAAAGAGGATATAGATATCCTGGTCGAGGGCATCAGGATCGCCATGGAGATTTCGAATACCACCGCGTTCCAGAGGTTCGGCTCCAGGCCGCATACTATTCGGATGCCAGGGTGCAACCGGTATCCGTTCGACACTTACGATTACTGGGAGTGCGCTATCAGGCACTTTACTTTCACTATTTATCATCCTACTGGGACCTGCAAGATGGGGCCCAGGAGTGACCCTACTGCGGTGGTCGATCCTAGGCTCAGGGTCTTCGGTGTAAAAGGACTGAGGGTGGCTGATGCTTCTATCATGCCTGTGATCGTCAGTGGGAATCCTAATGCGCCGACGATCATGATCGGAGAGAAGGCGAGTGATATTATCAAGGAGGATTGGTTGTATAAGAAGAAGAGGTACGTTGGCAGATGAGGGGGAGGGGGGCATTCTTTTGAGTGGTGATGTGTTGTGATTTTTTGACAGCGGATAATGTTTTGAAAATTGAAGGTACAGTTTGGTTTTTTCTAGAAACGGGTTAGCTATCGCGTGAATGTTGACAGAGCTCTCAAGCCTGCGAGGTGGATGTTGTTAATGATTGCCATGACTGACGTGGCTAGATCCATTCAGATTAGTACTTGTCAAGTCTTGTGGAAGTTTCCTACGCTGCAAGTTAATTTTAATAATCTTAATATAAATAGTTAATGGTTTAACTTGCAATTTCGAGTCGAACTGGATCTGAGGCAGGCCTTTCAGGTCTGCAACACTTTTCAACATTTTTGTGCCGCCGGAGTAAGAGTGGGAGAATTCCCCCTCCACGTTCCACGCATCTGTCACAGTATAGCAATAGTCATTTGTGGACTCGACGCAAGTGTGACAGGGTATCAATCGTGGACGCGATATTTTCCATATTTTTCCCTTACTATCGCCCTATACAAATTAATTATTCAATATTATACTAGATCATTTATATTAGCTTCAGTTTACAAAGCGTTTCGAAGTAATTATCACATGACTTGGAGGGGAAATTTCCCTACTCTTACCTCAGCGGCACAAAAATACTGCAAGCTTGGAAAGTCTGATTTGAGGTTGCATTAGTTACTTGTCCATATCTATATTATCTAATAAGAGGTATAGAATTTGTTTCGCAAGTAAAAAGACAAAACTGATCGAAAATTTTGTATCCGCTGTAACACAGGGATTATTAAAATTCTGTTAATATTTAACAGTAAATCAAATAATAAATAATTACGTCCATTTGCATAGTAATACTGCTGGATTTAATACTGTTAGCGTACATTACATTTCGACTTTCCCGCGCCCGTAGAATACAGCAGTTGGTAACCTGTGTCACTAAAATGCACGCGACGAAAATGGCGCGAAATTCAAATTCTACATCTCTCAGTAAATCACCCTTCGGAAGCATTTCAATAATTTTGTTTTAAACAATCGGTTTCTAGAAAAGTTTTATATTAATTAAGAAAATTACATTACACCAAAGATAATTTGTTGGTTTACGAATTACATGGACATCTTTATGAAGCAATTTATTACTGTGTAAAAGTAGCTCAATAATTTTCTTGTACATAATAATTTCAACAGGAGTCGTTAAATTGTGTTACTGAAAATATTTTGTTGTTTCAAAAATAAAATCTTCTTCAATAATTTATTAAATTTTTCTCGATTATTAATTACAGATTATTAAAGCATTGTGAAATAACTGGCAGTTAAAGTTTTCAAATTGAGATGAAATGTAATTAAAACGAAACGATTGTAATTAAAACGAAGATTCAAACGACACACACACACACACACACACACACAAGTAGATTAAAAGTTGATTTATTCGTGAATCAACGTACTATTGT